AAAGAGTGTCACACGTGCGGGCAAATATGGTGGGAGGTGACTACTACCGTGTTCAATTACTATAAACTAAATTCTTGAATCTTTAACCAAAATGTAGTCAGGAAAAATTAGTATTTTCAGTCATGAGAGTACTTCTTGATTAGATGTAGAGAGTTCTTAACCAACTGGATCTGTATTACTGGCTTCATTCTAAAATGTGCATTTCATGTACGTAACCTTCAAACGTTCCCCACTTTTTTCATCATTTTAAATGTCACGCTTAGCAACAATAGCAGACGATAAAGACCCTTTGTTAAAATTGATGTTAAAAAACGTATCTGAAATTGTTTATTTTGTTATATTAGGCAAGCTATTTCTGCGTGCCTGTAATGCAATAACCATTACTACAGTAACCCAAATACCTAGTTGGCCCAGAATCGAGGGCAATTCCTATTTCTCAAAAACAAAACTGAAAATATTTGATTAAAAAAAAAATACAAACTCACAGCTCCATTCTTCATAAACACTTGCATAACCTGTCAATCCATCTGTTTCACCCTAACTCATGTCCCAAATCCCACTTGGACTAACTCCTACTCACGCTCACCTCCCAGCTTCAGTCCCACCTCCCCATCTTCTCCTCCCTTCCCACTGGCCCCTTAGCACGCTGAATCCTTCCCAAAGCTCAGGCATAGACCCATCGTCTCCCACACGGTCACCCATCACCCTCCTGCTTCTTCCCACCACCCTGTACAGCCTCATAGCCTTTCCTTCTCTGTGCACAACCCCATAATCTGCTAGTGAAATCAGTTCGTCTTCATCCAGCCCCAGATGCCACTCATAATGTACCCTTTCCCACACGCTGCTTGGCAGAAAGGCTGAGTTTTTCTGAAGTGCAGAAAGCTCCAGACTTATATGATGATCAGGGGGGAATTAAAGAGGTAACATGGGTTTCCCCCTTCTTCTGCGTAAAGCAGATTTACAAGGAAAGCAGGTAGAAATCAACCACAGGCCAGTCTCTGCACTTCTCCTCTCTACTTTTGCTCACTATTTCAGCCTGCCCTCCAGCAAATTCCAGAGTTTCTGCCCAGCTGCATACTGCCTGTGTAGGGTTCAGCCTCTCAGCAAAAAGTTTTATGCCTCTCCTATACCAGTTACAAATATACCTAATACAAAGCAGGTACACTTTTTCTCCTTCTAATTCCTGAGGTATCATGGAGATACGGCAGCAATCCTGTGCTGAAACGTATAATTTATTGTCCTTTGTAAGACTGACTGAGAGACTTGCTTTTAAGGTCAGTAACTGAAACTGTTCAGTAGTCTAACAGGGGTATTTCTTCTTTAACACACCTAAATCAGGCTGGAGTCCGCTGCTATTTTCATCTATCTTCAAATTTGTATAAAGTGGAGTAGGCTCTAAACCAGATCGATTGCATGGCACTGCATAGACATCAAAAAGGTCTTTAAGATCCTTCCGGCTCCGAACACTGTGAAAACAGTTGAAAAGTTCAATCTTTGCTCTTTTTTAAACTTGGGTGAATGAGGTCAAAACAAAATAAAAATAATTTTACCTGAAAGACTTGAAGAGCTCTACAAATTCCACAAAAGTCATGTTACTATCAGAAACCATGAAGTTCTGAAACCCTTTCATTCCTCCTTTAACTCGGCCATGCCAGCTACTGCTGCTCCACGTGCTAAATCACAAAGAGACTGCTGTAACTTGGTTACTTTTAATTCACACATGCCAAAATATTATGCATCACTGAATTAACACCTTATTTGTGGTTCCTAATGCATTTATTATCAATATTTGAAAGAAGCAAAAGAGTAGTATCTTATAGTGTGTATAATGACAGTTTCTACTTTCTTTTTTTCATAGTGGCCCTTCATTTCCCTCAAGGCAACTGCAAACTTTGCAGGAACAAATAATGTAAACGCTATTCTAAACTTTTCCTTGTGCAGAAAGGCTTGATTTAAATGATAAAAATGAAAGCTTTCTCATTTTCTCTTTTAACAAAAAAATGCCAGCATTCCTGTGGCACAAGCTTTAAAAAACATGTCCCGTTCTTTATGAGCATCACTGAAGATTTGCCAAGCGGGAAATTGAAAGAGATACAGAATTCCTCAAAGCTCAGTGCTAAAAAAACCCCCAACATTCTGACCGGAAGAACACAAGAACAACAAAGAACAGAACAACAAATATTTTTCTTAGGAGCTTAGGGTTTCTTGTAATATCTGGGAGAATTACAGGTCTGCAAGATTTTAAGAAGGATAACCCTTCCTCCTTCCTAGCACTCAACCCTCATCACTTCCCAGCCACATGGGTTTCCCAGACACTTCCCAAAACCAGTTGGGAATATCATCAGAAAGCTCAAAGACAGGTCAAGGTACAGTCCTCTTCTTTTAGGCTTTACAGTAGTCTCTCGAGGCCATCTCCTTCTAAAGGAACAAGGTTCTAGGGACTTCCTTCTTTCAGCTTCTAGGGCTGAAGAAAGGGAAAACAGACTGGAACCTCTTGAGAGTAAATGAAAAAAAAAACGATCACAGAAATAACTAGCTGCTTGGTACAAATGATTTTATTTGACTCGGTGCCCTCTGTCAAGTTCCTCCGAGTGCAATGAACAGACCCATTGCTATTCTACACATTGACCCTTTGAGCCAAACAAGGCCTTTTTTTTCCAGAAGCCCGTTATTCCGACGGCCAAAAATACGTCTGGTTCATGCTGTGAATATGAAATCTTTTTCTTTAAATACAGTGCAGATCAACTGTACGTGCAGTTACCACACCCTGTTTGAGATGTGATATCCGAGTAAGTGAGCATTCCTATCCTTTTCAGGGGAAAGTAAAATAAGCTGGTTCAGCCTGCTTTCAGCAACAGTTTAAGCTAACTATTTTTCATATTGAAACCAAGAAAGAGTACTCTTCACAGTTAATAAATACATAAAATAAGTCAATAAAACTTGAGAGTTTGATTAACATCAAGCCCAGCCAATTTCTTAGTAACTTCAATTTTCAACCTAAGTTGTGCAAAGAGTCCTGAAGCAGAATAGTGTATTTCCAAAATTCACATCCCAAAATCTCTAGACTACTAGAGGACTTAGATTAGCACGCGTAGTTTGGCCCTGACTTGAACTACTCACTCACTGCACGAACAAGTCCTTAGTGAATCTCAAGTACTAGTCTGCAATGATGACAGCCAGATGGGCCAATTCCTGAGCCCCTTCCCAGGCCTAAAGAACGACAAACACATGCCCCAGGATTGGGATCCACCAGCGCCAACATCCTGAAAAGGGAGGGATCTAAACAGTCAGTACCAATATCAAGATCAATTGTCTCGTCCAAATTGTAACTAACTCCAGAAGTTATACCAATTGTTACCAAACATCAAGCTAGTTGACCATGTGTCCAACATCACGCACACATCTGCAAAGCCATTAATTTATGAATTCTGCCATCAGGTTCAGTACAAACAGATCCAACAGCTGCAACAGGGAAACAAGATCACCTTCCTGTCCAGTGTTCTTAAAGACATTTGTGGTCCCTTAAAACTCGTGCAGTAAGCAGACTTTTTTTTAAACATAAATATACTAGATCAGTTTCCTCATTCACTCCTAGCCTGGCATAGGTGCATGCAATTGAAAAATGAATGTAATTTAAAATATAAAGCTCCCCCCCCCAAAAATATATGTAAAATATATGTATAAAAAACAACATCTACTTTGGCTAACAATTTTCCATTTGTTTGGCATCACTATGGCAAATACCGATATGCCGCACATTAACTTTTTGGCTAAAACCACTCCTAACATTTTTCGTGAGACAAGAAAAGTAAACTAGCACGAGGAAAGTTTCTTAGCTCCAGAAAACAGACTAGAACTGTGCAGTCCAGAATGGGCTATCAGCAGCAGACGAGTACGCTCAGTATTTCATCGGATTCCATCACTAACAAGCAACTTCTCCAGTACTTCCACAGGTAATATCACAGACTGTTTAAAAAAGAAGAAGAAGAAGAAAAAAAGCCCCCTCCCCAATTGTGTAAGTAGGAACAGTCTGCATTATGTATGTACACGGATAATACAAGACAAAGTTCACCTTCTCTTTGTAAATAAGCCCCCATCTCTAATTTTCCATATCCTGCTGCCTATTTCCCAACGGCCTCTCCCATCTCCCCCTCCTTAGAGGCAGCACCAGCTCAGTTCCCAAAGAGCTGGGATATATTGCAAACAGATTGAAATCTAGTAAGCTCTGCACCCATACTATCTAAAGGCAGCAGTCCCTGAAGCAACAGTCCCAGAACTGTAACTAAATTCCCCCTTGGGGCAACCTGCTGGTTTACTCCAAAAGAGATCCAAAGAGTGAATTAACAAATACATATAGCGTGGACAATCATAGCACTTTGCAGTAAAGCAGAGAGTCAACTATTTGATAGCTTGGACTTAATGATTACAAACGATGCACTGCATATATTTATTTCTTTTTCGGATATGAAAAGTGTCCATACACATGAAAACCAAATAGCACAATTCAGACCCATCCAGGGATGTAAAGACCAAGAAAAAGATCCTGGCCAGTGCTCCAAGCCCCTTAATGGCTCATAAAAACTTGAGCCTGGGGCAGGGTAATGGATAAACATGTAATTCTGTCCCAAGGAAGATTTCCTCAGGACAAATGAAAGCACCCATAAAGCTGCTTCCAGAATAACCTGCAAATTCCAGCATAAAGGGGCATATCAAGTCAGTAAGAGCTCTACTGAGCAACACTACACAGTTTCCAGACAGCTTTGCCATCCAGCTTAGGGAAAACCTGTCGTAACTCAGGGAGGCCCACAGGGCTAAGCTATGCGGGGATCTGTGCAGAAATCCAGGACTGAGAGGACTTAAGGAACGTTAGCTGCCCTTCTCCTGGGAATGCGAGTTCGCAGTTGAGCCTCTTAATCTCATTTACATAACAACAACTGTTTTGGCATACAAAGCAAAAAGTAGATTTGCAAAACAGAAGCAATTTCCAGAGGATGCAATGCAATATTTCTTCACTTCATTGTAAAAGAAAACTGCTCCAGTCCTTGTTAAAAAATCCTACTCTGGCATATACTGGTTCTGAATGATGGAGTGAAGAACTGAAAGCAAAGAATGCAGTAAGAGTCTCAGAAAGCTCTGTTAAAAGGAGAAGCAGCCAGCATTCTGTGGTGATATCCATGGGAGGCTCTCCCGCTCCCTCCCACCGTCAAACCCAACCATTTTAAATGTAAAAAATCCCTGTGAAATAGGCAATATAAACAATTATATGAGACATGTCTCTTTAAAAATAATGCAGCAATAGTCTCTTCCATTTTTTACCACTTGGCTCTCCTGGCAACCCCAAGATCCATACTTATACCCGTACCGCAGCACTTATTATGTTAAAAAGCACTGGAAGACCTCTCTTGAGACTGTCTTCTCATATGTCATAAACTACCATCCACATCCCTGATATATTATAATTGTTATATTACTATTCTTACTATTAATAGAATTAAAGCATTAGTGCATTACATTACTGCACAACCACAATATGACCCTTTGCACTATGTAAGAGACTGAACAGTGATGAATGTTAAAGGAGAAGAGGGAAGCCTGTAAGAGAAGAAAGATTTCAAAACTGCTTATTCAGTTCCCTAACATTCTGCAGTCATCACCAGAAACCTCAGTGAAAGCTAATATTCCCCCAGGCAGAAATGACACCTCCTACATTTCTGTTGATTTTCAAAATACATAAGATAACTATAATTATGTTTTGGAGAAGATCTGGAGAAGATCACATTTCATTATAGTTAAGTTACAGCAACTTGTTTCTTTTTAAATCAAAGCACTGATTTTGTCCTTACCTAGACTGACTCTTGCTTGAACACATTACAGGAGAGGAGACCGGTCTTGCTGGTGAAGATGTTGCAGGTGCTAAATTAGGAGATCCAGATGCTGTCAGAGAGTGAGCTCTTCTTGATGACAAGGTGTTAGATGGAGAAGCATTAATAGTAATACTTTGATCTACGGAGAAAACAGAAGTTTGCAGCACTATTATAACATCTGGTCCAAGAGACTTACACCGTAATTCTTTAACGCTTAGTAAAATTCTAAAGGGATTCTAGATTTGTCCCAAGACAGTAAAAAAGATATATTCTGAACAATGCCTATATAGCCACTTGGTTTTGCTAGAAGTGCAACTGAAACAAAATGAAAGAACAGTCATAAACAACTACGGAAATTAGTTTTAAAAGTTTATATCATTAGGAGTTTCAAACTGCAAAAAGCAGTTTTATATCATAAATGTATTTTTGATGCTGTAAAAAAATGGCTGCATGAAAAGATTTCGAGCAAAACCCTGAAGGACTTCTAAGTACTGAGACTATACATCTACCTGATTCTTCTTGTTCATCAATGTCTTGAGGATCTGAACCACTTCTATTACGATATTCCCTACAGCTTTTTGCCTTCCGAGTTGCCATTTCATCATCGGTGGCCTCTCCACTTTCACCCTAGAAACAGTGAGCACCATAATAAACATTCTGAAAATACAATTTTTTTCATCCTTAAGCAGTGTCACCTGTAACAAAACCATGAGATGAATCCGCTATTCTATATGAAAGACTCCAGTAAATCTGGTAAGTGCACTGTCAGTGAAACCATCTAAGTAGAAAAAAGGCGACGTAAGCATCACCAAGGAAACATAATGAAGTGTGGGAACATTAGGTGTTACCTCAGTGTGACATCATACAGAAGACGACAATGATCCTGCCTCTCTAAAGTGGTCCAGCTGGTTTTACACTATTCCACTGATGCGTAGGAGCCCTAAAGAGGCTGGATCTTGTCATTTGAGGACCTCTACCTGCCTACTGGAGTATTTGGATAGTGCAGAACTGCTAGTTCCTGCTTGTTTTTCTCTTCTGGCTACTGCTGAAAGAGGCTGAGTCCAGAAAAAAAGAGGAGAGTGGCTGAGTCCAGGAAAAAGAAGAGACGCTGTCCAGTGTTCCTGTCAGCCACACGAGATAAAACTTCATGCTAATATGAGGTAGAAGAATTCTGGTGATGTTTTGGGGAACACGAAAATGAAAAGGAGCAAAGAAACTTACTACAATCTCCACACGTCACTCTGCATGTTGCTATTGTTATGATTAACATATTTAACTTTTATACTTAAGGTAGCATCTAATGCTCTCAATCACATTCTGTCCCCTTCTGCTAGTCCCAGTGCCCACATATCCCGAGAAAGTTCCAAGCACGAGGAAAAAAGAATAAAAACCAAAAGAAACAAAAGTTAATTGAAAATAATAAGCCAAAAACCTGAAACTCCAATAAGCAATTTTAAAATTATCATCTAATATCTCTTCTCTGGTTCAGAATAGATAGTTATAGCTACACAATTACTACAAGGAGGAAACAAATCAGCCCTATAAATAACAAATCAAAATGAGTAACAAAATATTCTACCCTCATGAGTACTTTCTTCTTTTTCTTGGCTGTGTTTATTCCCAGAGTGTTGTTTCTCTGTACACTAGGTTTCTCAGTGCTTTTGGTAAGGGTTCCTGTGCTTGTGTTTCTTGCACTCCATCGCCTGCCTCCAAACAGTTCAACAGCCTGAGCCAAGGTTGGACCTTCAAATCTTCCATCCTCCTATGAAAATTTGCAACATTAACAAAACAAGGAGAATAACTGCCAAAGAACAGACACGTTTTCTTTCAGTGAAAGACAACATCAAGAGCAGGTAATTTTTAATTATTGCATCAATATGATGGGGCTTTTTAAAACATTAGTAAAATATTTTGTTTGCTATTTTGTTTTGACTCTCTCAGTGCTCAACATTTCAGCATCCTACTTACAGTCATTGTTTGCTGCTTAATAAAATGCTCATTCCAAAATTGCAAATATATGAAGAACTTTGCAATAAAAAAAGATTTATCTTCAGCGTACTGAAAACATTAAGAGAATCAGACCATGTTACAAAGGCGGTGATTTGGCATGCATCTTTCATCTTAACTCACTTACAATAGGAACTAATTGCATAACATTAGGTTGCTGTTATCTTTGAAGTTTTCTCTTCTTATAGATAATCACAGTATCTTTTTACCTGGTAAAGGCTGACATACTGTTTTCGTAGCCACTGTAGTCTTTGATCAGGGAAGCGCCTCATCTTTCTTACAGCTTTAGACAATTCCAGTAATCCGTCATATAGCATTCTAGCAGTATATTTTGGAGCAACGAAGTGCAGCAACTTATTATCAGTAGTCTGAAGTCCATAGAGTAGTGTTACACCATTTTCTTCAAGAGACATATTACACAGTTTATTTTGAACACACACAGTGTGCATATCAATGCCAGGGTGCCCCATATATACAGCCTTTGCTGAAAACAAATCCAGAAAACCTTCCATCAATCCATTTAGTCCAGTATTGCCAAGAAACTGATATTTACCAAGCTCAGGAGTACTACTCGCCATGCTCAGTTTTGCTTTCATATTTGCAGGGCAAACCGTTGTCGGTTTTGACCAAGTCAAAGTACTATTGTCAGGCTGAAGTTGAAGAAAACAACGTGCTGAGAGATGTGTCTCCTGGTCATAATGAATGACTGTTGCCCCCTGCAGCATGAACTGATGGACATCAGCTCTGATTGATAACACATACCAAGGAATGAGTTCTATCCCATGACAGAAAGCTTTTTGTTGCTCTTCGGTTGAATTTGTGTCCCACTCCTTCAACTGCTCAAATATATCACTTTCAGAATCTGAAAGATCTCCAATTATAAATCTGTATGTGAATAAAGATGAGAGACTTGAGTTTTGTACATTCACTTTCAACCCTTTGAAACACCTGATACATGTGCTGGTTTATGCTTTGACTCTCTAATATTTTTTCTGCTGGAGCTTAATCAAAAAAACACCATCATCTCTATGTAATTTGGACTTACAGGAACATCTGTGGTTAAATTTTTTACAGTATTACATTTTATGTTATTGTAATACTGGATTAATTAAAAGATGTTGCTACAATTAATTATAACTGCTTTAATAGTGGAATTATTATTTTCCTAGAAATAATAATAACGTAATTATATTTTCCTAGAGTTTTCCATGTGTTCCTTTAATAATAGACAACTTCAGTTTGCATCTTAAAACCAAGTGATTCCAGTTTCTACATCCACTGCATAAGACGGCTTTGGTTGACATGCCAACCAAAACATACCCTAGATGGTATAAACTGGTGTTGAAGTTGACAAATCCTCCTATTTGGAAAAACAAGGAAAAAACTTGAGTTTTTTCCTCGTACTCTAAAAGATATTTACTGCAATTAGGAAAATTTAAAAGGGAAGATGGGTTAAGGCTAACCGAATGACATGACAGTTTAAAGCAACTTAGTAAGCAATTTGATTAACAGTTCTTTAAAAATTGAATTTCAAACCCAAAATGTTTTGTTCTTCTAATTGCCCTTCTTTGCTTGAGAACTGACAAGACAGAGCTCTAACAGAAATCAGGCTTTGGTACTTATTTGGCACATCCAGAAATTCTGGGTGAACAGGCAGGTCACTGCCTATAGATTAGATTAGGTAGTGAATAGGTCACTGATTACAGTGTGACACAGAGTTTATCTGCCAGTACAGCTGGGAAAGTAATAACTATACCCAATACTGACTGATTTTATTAGATGCTTTTCATTTTCTTCAAATCAAACTAAATTACTAGTTTTGCGGGGTTCATGTTCTACAATACTTACTTAAATCAGCAAAAAACAAACTAACTGCAAATCTTCCTTTCAGTTCTGGAATATGAGAAGTATGCTGTGTGGTACATTTTTCTGCCTTTATGACCACAATAATACAATTATGAGGTGGCACATAATTATTAATATAATCTTGACTGTATAATACTATATAGCAATATGATCCAGGTTTCACAAGAAAGGCTATTATTTCTTCAGACTATTGAAAATAAAACGAACACTGCTGCCTCCACACAGTAGGGACAACAGAATATAGCCCTTGTGCATCTTTGCAGCAATTTGCTTCTGTGCCTCACCCAGCTCTCTGAATGAACAGGGAAGAGATGGCAGGAAAATAAGGAATTTCCACAGTCTGTGCAAGACTTCAGGTAAATGAATAATTTCAGAGGTATTTTCTACAAGTTGCTATACTATTAAAAAGAGTATCTACTGTCCCAGAATAATTGATACTAACAAACTCAGTAGGTATTAGGCCGAATTGGGAAAAATACTTATTTCCAGTTTTGTCCATTTAAACTTTAAGCTTTCATTTCAATGTTCTATTAGATCTTTTTTCCTTGCATTTAATTCCTACTTTACATATAGTGGAACTTAGTACATTGTATTCAATATAGAGCATAAATAACTAATTTACCAAGAAGTGATTTCATAAACACCTAACCAAGAGGACTTGATTTTCCCCATATTGTTCCTGCATATGTGAATTCTATTTTGCTTATCCAAGTGAAATGTTGATTTCTCTAGTTCATTTTCCATTTGAGCTGTGAATTACAAGATGGCTTTGAAGTATATTAGTTAAGAAAATCAATTTCTGGAAGAAAGCATTTAAATTGAAATAAGTCAAGAGACAACATAAATGAACAGGGAAGTGGGATCATCTTTCTTGGCGTAATCTCCTGCTCCACTGTCCAGAAGCAAGTAAAGCCATATGTGAATAATTCTATTAGAAAACATTCTTTCAGGAAATAACAATTATTTATGTGAAATGAAATTTACAATTCCAGGTTAATGAAATAAATGCATTTAAAACAGGAAGATGGTAGCTCCTTCTCAGGCAGTCACTTATTAGATTTTATGTATAAGTAGCTGAAATAGGTTGGATACCTCAGAATATACAGAATTTCTGCTACACACTATCAATTTAATAACTCTACTAGTGAAATAAGTATACTCTTTTATGCAATACCTGATCAGTCATTTTATATCACCTCACCTCTGAACCCTATAGCTGCGCCTAGTCAGAAACATACCTCGCTACTGCCTTCAGACATCAACTGAAATGAATTTTAACCCCCTTAGAAAAGGCTTTATCTTTACATAATCCACGTATGTGCACACATAAGTATGTTTACAGATTGTGAAGAGACAGCAAAGCTAACTTGGCTAGTGACAGTCCGGCATTTATGGCAGCAGGAACTCAATGCTGAAGGACTGGCCAAGTATCGACCAGCTTCCTACGAGACTGGTACACCACAAGCTGCCACGCAGCTCATGCAAGGCTCCAGGCTGAAGGAGCAATGTTCTGGTCCACCCAGGTTACGCAGTTTAAAGCTGACCCATGAATGTCTACATGGGCTGCGATTCACTGCAAAGCAACACTGGAAGATCATGCGGAGTGTTAAAGTTTGACCCTACAGTATTTCTCGCTGGCAGATAGTATACAGGATCTTCAAAAAATCTGAGATTACTGAACATTGAGTTTTTCCATGGGGTGCTATTAAGTGGTGACCTAGGCAAACTAGTATGACTAAGCTGGCCTGAAAACTCAAAATGTCTAATGACTTCCAAATGCTTTCTGGACATAACTTAAAAGCCTCAAATGAACATGCCCTTAAAAGAAGTGATCTTATGAACAATAATAAATAACCTTTATTTTGAACGGAACAGGACGCTGCCCTGGCATGCAGAATATAATGTTCTGAGCTCTGATACCAGATATGCCCTGGTGCTATTCCTGGCACCACAGATCAAAATTGTAATCATAACTGTGGATTTTTAAAGCTCTACATGTAAGATGAAAGGGATTTACCCTTATGAAAGGAAGTAATTACATCACGAGGAAAAATAAAACTATATAGAGAGTTTCAAGCATCTGAGTATCAGCTACTTAGCATAACTCTGGTGAAGGTAAAGTTTTGAATTAGAAGGGGATAAGTACAAGGACAGTTGTTAAAGTTACACGTTGTTTCTATAAATGACCCTTGGAAGAAGAAAATGAAAGATGAAAAATGTGAAATACAGAGATAAAGACAGAACAATAAAATACGAAACCTACTGGTACCGGTTTCTGTCCTTCAGCGAGTTTTTTCTCGAATCGCTCCCTTCACTGAAATTATCTTCACCTTCTTCAGATTCCAAACTGCGATTACAACTCCGAATAGTTTGAAATATATTGTTTGCTGTTGATTCTTTTTCTGGATTATTTAAACCATCTTGGCCTACTCGTTGCAAGAAATTATCTTGTCCACTGTAATCTGAAACGAACTGAAGATAACTAAAAGATTAGTATAACTACAACACTGTGTCAGCTTCTTCTCATGAGAGGAATTTTTTACAAGAATTAAGAATATTTAGCATATCTTTCCCATTAACTTCTAATAGGATCTACTTTTCATACAGTGCAGACAAGACCACTGCATAAATCTCGTGACACAAGCAACAGTGATTCCTGTAGATTTTCTTAAAGCCCCAGTCTAAATCTTTTTAGAGAGCAGGGGCACTTTTTTTTCAAAACAAAACAATAAAGCTTAATGGAAGTGCTCTTTTCATACAAGAGCCTGATCCACTGACCTTCTGAATTCTGTTTTTCAGGGACTCAAAACCTTCCCATTCCCAACGGGTTAAGCGGAAGGTCACAGCATTTAATAGAAAGTATTTTACAGCTTTCAGAACGTGGTACTTTGGTACAAATATTAATTTTTCAGTACGCCTATGCTGAACTATGCATAAACAACCATTAACTTTAAATCATTTTTATTACTACAGTTATTATGAGAATTAGACTGAGGTACCTCTAATTGAACTGTGAATATCAGTTCGGTTTAGAGAACTTTAATTAGATGTATTGTCATATAAAATAATAAATAATATATTAAAAAAAAAATGCACTGCCATTGGATACAGCTATGAACATAACCTCTTAGAATATCAGTCCCATTTACCTCTAGTGTTTCCTCCTGGGAGTTATATCGTGGACAGAGTCTGATGAGGCTTGATGCTCCATCCAGAACTTCACAAAGCTCTTTTAAAAATACACCACAGAAAGGAACTACTTTACAGCCTGGAATATTGAGTGCCCGATTGACCACTTTCCTGTATTCAGATGATGACTCATGTTGGGCTATAGCATCTTTCAGACTTCGCATAGATTCAATATCAGACTGGTCCATGAATTGCCACATTTTTAAAACTTTTCTTGACCTATTACAAATAGAGATCAAACATCTATTAAAAAATTGAAAGTACAATTTACATTTAAGTTCAACACCTGCAGCATATCTAATAAAGGAAATTATAATCATTACTCAGAAATGAATCAAGCTCATTATTTTTACAAAAATTCTGGATAGCAGACCACTTTCCCCTTTGGATGACTGAATACCAACACTAAAGAGGAGAAACAAGCAGTCCAGTCTACATATGACTGGCGTAGCAACTGCAACTTTCATATAAGCCCAGCTGCATAAGAAAAACTAGCTGGCTTTCTTACTTTTTTAGTGTGCCATTGCCTTAAAGTTATAAAGGCCTAAGAAGAAATAAGAAAAGATTAAAGAAATGGCATAAGGACAAACCAGATGGTTTATTACAATTGCCTCTGCTTCATTATGAACAATCCACGAAGTTAGCAAAAGTAAAAAAACGTAAATTTATTTAAAATAATTTATATTGACTTTTTCCCCAATTTACTTTGACCTTAGTATAAGAATCTACGGGCCAAGATCATGTTCCGACTCTCAGACACCAACAAAGTTGCAGATTTTTTATTGTAGCTGAAAAGAATTGTTAATTTCAAACAGAAATGGTTCGTGGGCTCCCTGAGAAGGACTGCTAGTACTGCTGGGAGGTCTCTCACCTTCTGAGCTGTACGTCTATGCAAAGGTATGGTCATTCTACCCAGCCCTGGCCCCAGACATACGAAAAACTTTGAGGAAAGGCTAACAACAGAACATCCTTAACTCCACATTCTGCCCTTG